AACCTAACACTTACAAGATACATAAAACTGCCAGTTATGCATGTTAGCCCTAAGAGAGATCAAAATGAAACTTAAATGTAGGTTTGAAGGCTCAAATTCTCAGTTGTAAATGTTAAAAATACCTGAAGTCCTCTGGCAAGGTTCTGAAGTGAGAAATCATGGAACAGAAAATTCTCATACAGTAATCTCAACACCCGAGCACCAAGTTTGAATGGAAATCTGGCAGTCATCAAAACCTAGGACAAGAGTTCTTCTATATTTATAACATCATAACACTGTACAAAATTATTGTTACTGTACCCTAGGAAGACTTTGCACTTTAGGCTCACCTTGCTTATGATCTCTAGAACACAAACATGTGATGGCTCTGACTGAAATCTCTCAATAGACAACAGACTTGATACTGCATGTGGCAAAACTTTGTGAACAGTTGTCACTGCTGTAGCAATTCCAAAGACCAGCACCAAAGGAAGTTCACTCAAGTACTGACTGTTAAGGAAAAGAAATTAGAAAATAGAGACTATACAGCAAACAGAAGTCTTAATTAAAAGTATAATAGGGGAGTACATATTAAAAAAAAATTGGCTGTTTCAGACTGCATGTGGCTACTGATAGAGCATAATTTTGGTAATAGTTTTTGTAGCAATGAAAACAACTAGAGGTTGTATAATGATGCTAAAGGGTGGTGTTGCAGAAGATTTGTCTAACCTGTAAAATAGAAAACCTGTAATTATAGAAGTGTGATATTTAACAGGGGCTAGCTCAAGAACCTCACTGTTCTTGTATTGGTGTATCCTCTTAGATTAACCTATGCTCCTTTTAATTTTAGCTGATGAACATAAATTATTTTCTTATTTTGTTTTCATTCTATTTTTGTGAGACTTTTGTTTCATACCACAAGACATTGTGCTGTATAGGATTTTCAGCCATTCCACTGTTACATCATTCTTTTGACTAGGGTTACCCCGTTAAACTCTGGACTTTCCTCGCTTTGCAAATTTAGCGGCTCTTTGGGACTTATTTAGAATTTTATTATTATATTTAACCTATTTAGATATTGCTGCAATGAAAAGTCTTGTTTTCAATCACATGCTGCTGGAGGTGCCACTGTGAAATTATTGAGATGTTTATCATCTTCTGTGGTGTCATGGTCAGAGCTGAAAAAATTAAATCTTTAGATCTACTAGGCATATCACTGATTCAAACAGTAAAATGCATTCTCNATGACGAGTATCGTGTTCGCATTGAATAATTGAATGTTTGGAAAAGGAGTTCGAATATTTGAAGTGATGAATAGGGTTACCAGACTAAACGACCGGATGTCTCCATAGTCGAACAGCAGATCTGAACTAAAAGATTAAGCGTTGGAATGGAAGAATTGCCGGTTTGAATTGAAGAGCAGAGTGTTTGAATTGCAGAACGATTGTTTCAAAATGAAGGATTGCGTGTTTCTGTCGACGAAAAGCCTGTTTGAACTGGCGAATAGTGTATTTGAATTGACGAGTAGCAGGTTTGCGGTAAAGAATTGCATATTGGAATAGAAGGATAACATTTTTACTTGCGGAAATGACTATTATGAATTGCGAGATTGAAAATTTGAAATGCACAATAGCACGTTTGAATTAGACGACTGAATTGTCAAACAGGAAGTTTGAATAGAAAAATAGCAAGTCTGACACGAAGTTTTGAATTTTGACACTAAAAACGCGCCATAGGCTTCAGAGACACCCTGAGTGGGAGCCAAAATCATTGATTGGAGCTGCAAACGAGTGTGTTGCTGCACTTTGACGGTCGAGCATGTTTAGCACTTTTGGACACTGGAAGTCAAATCACTTCCATATCAGAATCATTTTATAGAAATATTTGAGTGACTGTGCTATACACCCGGTGGAGTCGTTGTTACGTGTGGTGGGAGCCGCCAAGATGTACTATTCCTTGGCTATGTGGATTTTGAAGTTGAATTTCCGGAGGAAGAGGCTGGTTTGTGTAGTAGTGTACAGGCCCTGAGCTTGGTAATACCAGACAACGAGTACAACCAACGAGTACCACTGGTAGTTGGCACAAACATTGTGAGAGAATGCAAAGACCGTTGTGAGGAGGTGGGAGGAGCTAGTTTTTTGCGAAGGTTACACACCTCATCTTCATGGAAAAGGGCCTATCAATCTGTGCGAGAGCGTCTTGTGAGTGGCCACCAAAAAATTTCGACAAAGAGCCAAGCATTAACAGTGGGAGCCCATAAGTGGGTAGTCGTGTGGTGTCAGACACTTGCAGCTCCAGAACGTCCATCTAAAGCTGTTATCGAGCCTTGCGAAGACCTAGAATCTCATATTTCGGTGACACCAGGGCTGGTTACTTTGGGGTCCAACTGCAAAAGGTGTTTTGTCCCAGTGGAACTTACCAACATGTCAGACAAACCAGTAACACTGCCTCCGAAGACTGCGCTAGCTAGTACACATCTGGCGACCACGGTCGATTGCGATCATTCCATTTTTGTTTACTTATCAATTTGACAGTATACAATGCAGTGAACGACTATGTTGGTGACTGCTTTCAAGAGCTGGAAAGTCTTATTAAAAGTGGGGTGAGAAAAGTACAGTCATTTTACTGCTTGTCACATTACAGCAAAATATGGCTGTGCCATTGTGCCACTTCTACGTCTGGTTTTAATTTTATTGCAATTATTAAGAGAACATTTTGTACAATGCTAATTAAACTTATCGCAGGCTTTCTTATGATCTTTTATTCCAATGTAGCCATCAGCGTCATCTGATGTATCAGAGGAACAGATTCACAGGGTTAGGCTAGCTTAACTCTCTTTTCTATAATTTTGACAAATAACTCAGTGAAAAACCATAAGGTGATAACTGTTACTTATTACACGACTCGGGCAGTCAGAGGGCCAATAACTAAAATCAACCAATCAAAATGCTCTATTGCCGGTCCAATATTCTCTAAGTATTGGACCAGGCACTTTCCTGAACGATACCGCACTTGTGTCCCTTTGAACTTCAGTTGTATAATAAATCTCTTATTAACCAAGCTTGCTCGGGACCGTACTGGAAGAATATCAGCCCTCTGTCTTTATTGTATGGACCTCGCAGCGCTCGGTCCATACTGTCAAGACCTCGCACCGGTATTCTCCTATTACTGCCCTTGCGCTTGGTTAGTAAGATATATTTATTTAAATATTTTACTCATTTTAGGAAAGTGAGAAAATGATCAAAAACTTTTACAAGAGTATTAATGCAGCTTTTGACAGATTTGAGGTAATCATAATATAGCAAATATTTGACAATTACTCCATGAGTGTGCATTGGATATGGATGATAATCATCTTATATCCAAATGTATGAGCTGAGAATAAATTTTAATTAAAAAAATGTATATAGAATATAGATAAATCTTCCCAACTTTGTTTGGTAAGAACAAACAAAATGTTACAAAGAATAAAAGACACTTTCAGTTTAACTCGTCATCATGTGTGTGCATGAAAACTACAGAGTTGCATTATCCAATGATCCAGTTTCGAATAGCATGTTATGGAAGTGTC